AAAAAAAAAAAAAAAATCTTGAGGGCCTGGGCTAGACTGGCAGTGGCAACAGGAAAGGAGTGAAGTTAAGAGGTTTTTGAAGAATAATTTGTTTATCAAAGTTAATTGAAGTAGACACTTGTCTTTAGAATGTGAACCATCTCTAAAATGAGAAGTTAATCATAGATATTTGGAGGATAGTTTTTCAACCTTCATTAAAAAGTCAGACCATCAATATTATTGGTAGTAAAGGTCCACAGTATCTTGATGAAATTTCAAAAAGCCATGAAAACATGGCGTGAATGATTTTGGTCTTCGTTTGTCCTGCTTAATGTGCATATATTTCATTCAGAAATACTGGGGTGGATAAGGGATTGTGGATCTGTAGTAGTAGGGGCAGTAGAAATAGGAATTTTAGATGCTTAACTTTTTTTCAAACAACAGAATTCATTCATATGATTTGTTAAGGTAGTGCATCTCACATATCCTCCTTGGGAATTCAATAGAGGGTCTTAAAAGCTGAAAATTGCTCAACTTTTTGAAAAAAAAGAATTTTGTAGTTTGCTAAGGAACTATCTAGAAGAAATAACCCAAGGAATGTAAAACTCTAAACTGCTGAATATCACTTATTTCTCCTTCTCTTGTCCTCAGAATATATGCGTAAATTTTTACATTCTTCTTCCTTGTTACTGTGTTATTTTCTGTCTATTGACCATTTTATAAAAACATTCCCATATATTGATAAGGCTATTGTATTCGTTATTTTTAATAGCTAAATAATCTTTTAGCTTGTTAACCTGTCATACTTAGACATTTTATTCGAGGCCTCTTTATCTATATAAATGTATTTAAAATGGAATTGACACATTCCTGATACATTGACCTGCTAACACCTTGCTATTTCTTCAGTTGCCACCTATCATTACAGTATCTCAGTTTTCTGGAAAAATTTAGTGATAGTTCTTTGTATCCTTCTCCAGTGGAGGGGGAATTGTTACTTTTGATCCATTCTTGTGTGACTATACTGCAGAGAAATGGCAAAGGGACTGAATCAAAGTTAAGAATTACTTTAGGAACAAATCAATAATAGAGGACATGCCAGAAACCTAGTTCTTATAGTTATTTATATAATTTCTCCAGTGAAATCTGGTTGGTTATTTTGTCATTGTGTGGCACATGCATGTGTTGTTTGTGTGAGAGACAGAGAGATTGTATTTGTGATCACTTGTTTGATACTATCATCTTTAATTTACTCTGTCTTTAATTTTGTCATTATAGAATAGCACATGTGGATATCATTTTCTTTCCAGATTGGGAGCAGTGTATGAAAATGGTATTCCTGAATTCCCTTTGTTTGTTCTTGTTCAGATTCTGTATATCTTTGGTTCCTACAGAGATCGATTGGCAAAATGCTTCCTGTGTTTAGATCATGTTAATTTACAATATATATTGGCTTTGCTTTTATGTTGACCTTTATCTTGTAAGTTACTTTTTCTTTATCCTAACAGATGACTTTGTAGAGTTACAGGCAAGGTTCCTGCCTATAATTCATTTCCCTCCTCTCTTCTCTGCATCTGTTTAGTTCTATATACTTTTCTCTCTTCCTTCTCCTTTTTTTATCCTCCCTCCATTTCCTTTCCCTTCCTCCTTCCTTTTTTCCCTTCCTCCCTCCCCCCTTCCTTCCTTCTTTTTTATTTTAATTTTAGCTTAGTTCATTAATTCTATTTTTAGGTCGGATGATGAGCAGAGCTCTGCGGATAAAGAGAGACTTGCCAGGTAGGAGAACAGTGTCTTTTAGCATGATGAAGCAGATGATGCTGCTTTTTCTATCCTTTTTCTTACTCTATCTTTTCTTCCCCTTTCTCTTTGTATTTTTCCTTATCTGTGGCAAGAGAGGACAAGATTTTTTAGAAGTTTGAGTGTAACAGGAACTTTGACTTTCCCCATCAGAAAGTGGGTGAGTTGAGGGAACTTTGCTTAGGGATTTAAGAAATTGCTATTAAGTTTTTTTCTTTTTTTCTTTATGTCAGTACTAAGTTTCACAGAACAAAAAGCTCTTAGAAGTAATGCAGCTGTGCCAGTTGGTGCTTTAACAGGGAAATACTCTTTTTATCAGAAAACCACAAATATATCTGTATTTGTGATTAGCTCCCAGTATTTAGGCCTCAGCATTTACTCCACACCTCTAGGAAACTCACACCTATTTTCCTATGAAGACTCACAGCCTAGATTATTCTCACAACAGAACTAGTGTTGCTTTGGTGATCTAATCCTTTCTTGTGGTAGTTTTCTAGAAAAGTTTTAGTTTCCTTGATGTGGCTTTTTAAAAGACCAGGTTTCTGTACTTACGTGTCAGAAATCTGTCAGATACTAGGAAGATGAGTGCTTTATGTTTGAGAGTAGAATTTTATGTCTTAGGCAAAGTGTAACTAAATATGGGCCTATGTGTTGAGACCCTTTTTGCCATTTAGAAAGGAGACTCTGGAATTGTCTTTGGAGACTGTTGTTTGTAATGCAGAAATACTGCAGAAGAAATATGCATAGACTTTTCTGTTTTCTAGTATCCGTGATTTGGGGGTGACTTAGGAAATAGATCATTGATGCTGATACCTATTTTTACTATTTTCCCCCTTTTTTCTACTATTTCCTCTTTAATCTGGGCCACAAACTCATTTTGCTGCCAGTTTAACTCGAGCTTCTTACTAACCCTTTCACTATTCAGAAAATGGATTTGGCATGATGTGGTGGAGAAAACATCGTATTGGGAAGAGAGCAGCCTGGGGCAAGTCACTTATGTACTTGACCTCCCTTTGCTCTTCTCAGAAAAAAGAGATTTATGTTAGATTTTTAATTTTCTTTTTTTTTTTGACAAATAATTTTTGTTCAAGTAGAATTCTTAGGTGGTAACAGAAATAAATAAAATAGATAAAGCAAGCCGGGCACAGTGGCTCATGCTTGTAACCCTAGCACTTTGGGAGGCTGAGGCGGGCAGATCACGAGGTCAAGAGATCGAGACCATCCTGGCCAACTTGGGGAGACTCCATCTCTACTAAAAATAAAAATAAAAAAATAGCTGGGCGTGGTGGCGTGCACCTTTAGTTGCAGCTACTCTGGAGGCTGAGATAGGAGAATTGCTTGAACTCAGGAGGTGGAGGTTGCAGTGAGCTGAGATCCCGCCACTGTACTTCAACCTGGGTGACAGAGCGAGATTCCATCTCAAAAAAAAAAGAGAGAGAGAGAAAATATTTCTAGCAAATATTTGAGTAGAAGCAGAAATGCAGCATGTTGCTTGGTTATCTCCTTGAGGCATCCTGATGGAGGACACTGAGAAATTTAATGGGCTTTAAAAAATTCCTGTTGGAAAACTACTGGATTATTCCTGTTAACAGTGATATCTTTCTGTCTTAATTTTGAGGAAGTCAGTGTTGGAGCTGTGGTCTGTTTACCTGGGTGAGATTCAAATTGTCTCTTGCCAGACCTTTAATCATCCTCCTCTCCACTCCACTCCTGCTCTCCAGTTAACTTCGTCCCAGACGGGGGACCCATATAGGACTTTTAGTAGATGGTGTATCTTAAGTCTTGTAAGAAGTTGAGTGCACTGGCAGCACACCCAGATAAAGAAGGTAGGACTTTGTGCATTAATGGGCCAAATAAAACTTCAAAATCTTCAAATTCTGCCTTTTAATGTTGCAAATAAGAGAGAGACTTACCATATTTTATAGACCAAGGAAATCTATACCATCAATTCTTGTATCAGCTGTGGAGCTACATACTTGAGTTGGCAAAAATTGATCCTTTTATTTTCTGGCCTTTAAATAGTTGAATTAGTCAACATGGGAGTTAACCAAGCTGAGGTTATATGTTCCAATGGAACTTAAGTGAGTAAAATCAGCATTTAGAAATATTGTTATTTCTTTCTTTCTTTTTTCTTTTTGAGATGGAGTCTTGCTCTGTCACCCAGGCTGGAGTGCAGTGGTGCAATCTTGGCTCACTGCAACCTCCACCTCCTGGATTCAAGTGATTCTCCTGTCTCAGCCTCCTAAGTAGCTGGGATTACAGGGGCATGCCACTGTGCCCTGCTAATTTTTGTATTTTCAGTAGAGACAGGGCTTCACCATGTTGGCCAGGCTGGTCTTGAACTCCTGGCCTCAAGTAATCCACCTTCCTCAGTCTCCCAAAGTGCTGGGATTACAGGCGTGAGCCACTATGCCTGGCCTGTCATTTCTTAAAACAGCTTTTTTTCTGAGGGAGTGGTAATTTGCAAATGATATGAAGTTTCCAGGAAATAGGGGGAAGGGAATTGTATTATCTGCTTGTTCTCTGTCTGCCTTATTAGTTCTGTTTCATGCTTGCTTTGCATGAGAAAGTTGGCAAACCTTATTTTAACTGCTGAGACTTAAGCATCACTAAATCTGAATACCACATTCTTCAGCAGCACACTTGGTGTCCATATCACTCTCCCTGCTACCAAATGACCAGATGTGACCACCTGGATGGGGCTTCTCTCTCTTTCCATGCAGGGAAAATCACAGTGAAATTGAACGGCGGCGACGGAACAAGATGACAGCCTATATCACAGAACTGTCAGATATGGTACCCACCTGTAGTGCCCTGGCTCGAAAACCAGACAAGTTAACCATCTTACGCATGGCAGTTTCTCACATGAAGTCCTTGCGGGGAACTGGCAACACATCCACTGATGGCTCCTATAAGCCGTCTTTCCTCACTGATCAGGTCTCTGGGACTTACAGTTCTGAGAAAGTCTAGAATCTGGGTGAATCTCTTGAAAGTTTTCGTTTTTTGGACAAGAATTCAGCTTTTCAGGAAAAAGTCAGACAATGGGAAAATGAATTTCAGTTCTTAGTTATAACATTAATTAGCATTGGGACAATGAGAAGTAGAGAAGAGTTGTGAAAACCATTTAACAAACTAATAAGTATTAATATTTGAGAACTTGACTCATGAATATAGCATATAGGATGGAAGAAGAACAGTGGACTCACAGAGGGAATGACTATGTCCATGGAACCAGTTTTCTTCCTTGCCTTTAGAGTTATAGAAGATGGAAGAAATCTGTTTCTTATCCCTGAAGCAGCTTCTAGTTTTAGTAATAGGATGAATCTGTCCCTCTTTTGGTGATACAATAACTGAGAGTCTAATTGTTGCTTGGGATGTGCTCTGTTACATTTGATGCACTATGAAAAACAGAAGGCATAAACATTTTCTGCCTTTTAGGAGCTTCATCTGAATATAAGTACGTGAGTGGCAGGATACAACAGAAAATGACAGGAAAATGCATAAAGAGAGGAATTGTATTTTTTAATTAGTAATTTTATGTGGGACTAGACAGACATATACCAAAGGGATGGCTAAAGTGAATGGAATGGCTAGACTTGAGTGAGGATGGTTAGGGAAGACTTCTGAGGGTAAGGAAGCCATGTTCTATTTTGGTTATTAAAATAACATCATTACAGAAAAATTTGGAAAATGTAGGAGGTATAAGAAAGAAAAAAATTTACTTCAGTATCAATCAAGTATGCCCTTAATGTCACCAATTTAATCAAATGATTAGAAAGGAGGAGAGAATATAGTTTGAGAAAATGGAATAAGAATTTTTCCAAATAGGATGGTCTACTTAAAAGTACATGCTTTATAGTTACATACATTGAAATAGTTAATATGCTTTAACAGTACATGTGCAGGTATTCAACAAACTCCAGTTACGCACCTTTTGTGGGCAAACCAGGTGTGTTGTGCTGTGAGAAATAGAAAGAATGGTAAGAGAAATGGTTTCCTGGTGGAAACAGACATGTAAATAAATAAATTAAACATAGAACTAGTTCTATAATGGAAGTGCAGTAATGAATCCTGTAGAAATGCAGATATGGAAAATGAGTTGGGGAGTAGTGTTGAGGATTTTGGGAATCACTTGAGCAAAAACTTAGAAGTGTGGAATAATTGGGTTGTGCAAAGAAAGTCAAGTGTTTTAGCATGTTTTTGGGAGGTAATAGGAAGGCAGGCTGGGATCTAATGATGGAATGTTTAGGTGTTAAAGAATTTAGATTTTAATTTTTATGCAGTGGGGAGACATCAAAAATGTATTAGCAGATCTGGTAGCATTTTAAGGATGGATTGAAAGCCGGGCAATTACTTAATTAGTTTTGGCAAAAGATGACTAGGACAGTGACAAAGCATTGGAAAGTAGAATTGATAAAACTGAGTTATCACTGGAATGTGAGAGAATAGTTAGATTTTGAGGCTTCCAGCTTGTGGGGGTGCTGTTAAGAAAGAATATTGGAAGAGCGTGGCAGGTTGTTTTTTTAAGAGGGAAATGATGATTCAGGTTTTGGAATGTTGATGTTGAGTTGCTAGTAGAATATAAATGTTTTGCAGATACTTGAAAGTCAAGTCTACTGAAAGCTCAGGAAAAAAAAAAATTAGTCAGGTCTAGGGATATAGACTTGGGTATTATTTCGTAGTGGGGAAGAGTGAATATGATTTCCCAGGAAGAAAGTATGGTGTTAATAAAGAGAACTTAAGATGAACTTTGGAAATGTCTACATTTAAGACTTGAACAAAGGAAAGGAAGTCTGAAACAGAAGAGGAAGCAAAAATTGGAGTACAGCCTCATAGAAGGAGGTAGGAAAAAATAAAATGTAAAGGATAAGATGGACAAGATTGTCAGATTCTGCAGAGAGGTTGAATAAAGTGATGAAGACCCAGGAGAAGGGACTTGAATTGGTATTTAGGAGGACATTAGTAACCTCCTTAAAAATATATGTATGCTGTTCCTGGCAGAACAAAAACCAAACTGAACAGAAAAACAGTAGTTTAGAGTGCAGATTGACATGGGATTGAGAAATAATTGAAAGGTAAGAGGATAAAGCCAGTGAATATAACATTATTCTTAGTATAAGCTTCCTGCTGAAAAAGAGAGATGAGATGGGTTAAAGTGAGGGAAGATTTACATAGAATTGAGAAAACCTGATCATTTTTATAGGCCTCAGAGGAAAGAGAGAAAGTTGGAATATTTGTCAAGCAAGATCCTAAAAAGAGACCAGACAATATGGAATTAAGAAGTCAATTATTGTTCATGGTAAGCCTTTTTTTTGAGACAGGGTCTCTTGCTCTGTCACTCAGGCTGGAGTGCGGTGATGTGATCTCGGCTCATTGCAACCTCTGCTTCCCAGGCTCAAGTGATCCTCCCACCTCAGCCTCCCGAGTAGCTGGGACTACAGTCATGTGCCACCACACCTGGCTAGTTTTTTTTGTTTGTTTTGTTTTGTTTGTTTGTTTGTAAAGACGGAGTTTCGCCCTGTTGTCCAGGCTGGTCTTGAACTCCTGGACTCGAGTGACCCTCCCACTTTGACCTCCCAAAGTGCTGGGATTACAGGCGTGAGCCGCTGTGCCTAGCCCAAGCCTTTTTATTCTTCTTGAATCCTGAGATAGAGAGGAAGAGGTGGATAGTGACAGAGAAAGTGAAGAAATATGTATTAGAAAAAACTTTCTTATTTTTGAAGGTAACTACGTTTAGGGTGGAAACCTGTGACTGTGGATCAGGTGTGAGCCAGCAGTTGCTTATGGAGAGATGCATATGGCCTGAAGTGTCTTACTTCTTCCTGTGAATAGAAATACTTGTTTTTTCAGAGTTCAATATTAACTTCTATTTCTTTTCCTTGGGCAGGAACTGAAACATTTGATCTTGGAGGCAGCAGATGGCTTTCTGTTTATTGTCTCATGTGAGACAGGCAGGGTGGTGTATGTCTCTGACTCCGTGACTCCTGTTTTGAACCAGCCACAGTCTGAATGGTTTGGCAGCACACTCTATGATCAGGTGCACCCAGATGATGTGGATAAACTTCGTGAGCAGCTTTCCACTTCGGAAAATGCCCTGACAGGTGAGAGTTATGTGTATGGGAAATGAATGAGAAGCCCTTTCTTCTTTTTTTCCTGAGGCTTAAGAGATGTTTTAGACTTTAAATTGGTTTGTTGACTCTGGCAAGACTTCAAGAATTTTCTCCTTTAATGAATATAAAGGAGTTCTTTTTATCCATATGAGATTATCTACTTTGTGGCTCATCCTTAGAAAATATTTCATTAATGATAATATTTTACATTTATCTTAATATTAGTGTAAATAGAACAGTAAAAGCCAAACCTACAGTACTTTTTTTTTTTTTTTTCCATTCTAAGGGAATTACCCATGCTTTTATCTCATTTGTATGGATAATTATCTGGTATTTTTTCTACCTCCTAGTGCTTGGCTTTGTGCTAGGTTCAATGATAACAGCTTTTTATTCTATAGATATGGTCATTGGTCGGTGTACAAGGTGTTTTATGTTGTTGTTTGTATCTGTCCTGTTGTTCTTTTTTTCTCCCCTATTTTATTATGTTCAGTCTTTTGGCCAGAGTTTGGCTAGAGGAAACAAGTCATATCTATTCTTGAGCAACTCTAGAAAAAAATTTAAAGTGGAAGCAGATAAAAACTGGTAGTTAAAATGCAAGAAATTTCAATATACTCATATTAGTGTTGTTGATCTTTAGTTTTCTTCCTTTTTTTCACCCCAAAAAGAAACAGAGTCTCACTCTCTTGCCTAGGCTGGAGTGCAGTGGTGCATCATAGCTTACTGTAATCTTGAACTCTTCTGGGCTGAAGTGATCTGCCTTCTTACAGCTTCTTGAGTAGCTAGGAGTAGTTCATGTCACCACACTTGGCCAATTTTTAAATTTTTTGTAGAGACAGGTTCTGTCTGTTGCCCAGACTGGTCTCAAACTCCTGGTCTTCAGCATTCCTCCCACCTTGGCTTCTCAAAGTGCTGGGATTACCGGCATGGGCCACTGCACTTGACCAGTTTTCCCCTCCTGTATGTTTTTATGATTTCATTTTTCTAGTTCTTCCTTTTCCCCAAAAGTTGTTCTTCTTTTCTATATAATAAAGAAGACAAACATATATATGTTTCTATAACATATAAAATTACTTGGTTTTTTTATTTGTAAAATTTTTTATTTTTGTTTTTTTTTTGAGACAAGGTCTTGCTTTATTGCTGAGGCTGGAGTACAGTGACTCTTCACAGGCACAGTCATAGCACACTATAGCCTCAAACTCCTGCGCTCAAGCAGTCCTCCTGCCTCAGCCTCCTGATTAGCTGAGACTACAGAAAATTACTTGTTTTTCAACCACTGACGTTTACTCTGTATGTATGTCTGTGTGTGTATACAAATAATCAGGCATGAGAATATAGCCTTGCCTCTTGTTTTCTAATACTACTTTCCACTCCTACTTTTCCTTGCACAATGTTATTTTCAGTGCTGCCTTTGAACTTAAGAGTGAGATTCATTGATGATAATTGAAGTATTTTAGACTTGAAAAAAAAATCATCTCCTGCTTGGTCAGTTCTAAGCAAGGAGATTAAGGGCATGAATAGGATGCTTACTTATCTTTGCCTTCAGTGTCTCTCCCCCTCTTCCCCACACACAAAAATGCACTCCAGACTGCTCTTCACATCCTCCTTCAGGGCGTATCCTGGATCTAAAGACTGGAACAGTGAAAAAGGAAGGTCAACAGTCTTCCATGAGAATGTGTATGGGCTCAAGGAGATCATTTATTTGCCGAATGAGGTGAGTGTCAAGCTGAGGATTGTGATTTGGTATAGGAAGGATCAAGAGCTGAGAGTTTTATTTCTGTTGGAGTTAAGTTGGATTAGCTCCAGTGGATTAAATTTAACTCTCCCTACCCAGATGGATTGTAACACAGAATAAAGTATTTGGTAAAGGAACTAATGTTTCTGAACTTGCCAGACACTATGATAGGTGCTTTCTGTCATCTTATTTCATCCTCACAATTGCCCTGTAGTGTAAGATTGATGGTTACCGTTTTGCAGATGGAAAAACATATATAAAGAAATGAACTTGGCTGGGTGCGGTGGCTGAAGCCTCTAATCCCAACACTTTGGTAGGCTGGGGAGGGTGGATCACCTAAGGTCAGGAGTTCGAGACCAGCCCGACCACCATGGTGAAACCCCGTCCCTACTAAAAAAAAAATACAAAATTCGACGGGTGTGGTGGTGTGCACCTGTAATCCCAGCCACTCGGAGGCTGAGGCAGGACAATTGCTTGAACCCAGGAGGCAGAGGTTGCAGTGAGCCGAGATTGTGCCATTGCACTCCAGCCTAGGCAAAAAGAGTAAAACTGTCTTAAAAAAAAAAAGAGAAAAAGAAATGAATTTCCCACTATTACATAGTGTTTGATACAGGATTTTGTTTGAATTCATAGTTGTCTGACTACAAAACCTGTACTTTTTCCCCATTAAAACACAAGGCAATATCCATTTACTCAGACCATTTCTTCTTTTTGTTTTTGGTTAGAAATTTGAGACTTCCTATGTCTTTCAGTTAGTGTTTAGTGTTTATAAATTATATACTGTATATTTTAAGATTCTGTAGAAAAGATGGTGGTCCTTTCTAAACAGGTACAAAAGACATCTTGGGGTCACAAAGTTCAGGTTATATAATGGAAATTGACTACATTGTACTAAAAGGATGGTTGCTAGAAATTATGGGTAGGATATTAAAGGTTTGCTTGGAGAGGCACAAAATTGAACATTATGTGGTTTAGTGATTTATTTTTATTTTTATTTATTTATTTTTTTGAGACAGAGTCTTGCTCTTTTGCCCAGGTTGGAGTGCAGTGGCATGATCTTGGCTCACTACAACCTCTACCTCCTAGGTTCAAGCGATTCTCATGCCTCAGTTTCCTGAGTAGCTGGATTGCAGGCGCATGCCACCACAGCTGGCTAATTTTTGTATTTTTAGTAGAAACAGTGTTTCACCATGTTGGCCAGCCGGCCTCAAACTCTTGACCTCAAGTGATTCGCCTGTCTCGGCCTCCCAAAGTGCTGAGATTACAGGCCTGAACCACTGTGCGCAGCTTGTAACTTAGAGTAGCTTCTAGACTCAGACTGCTGGATTCTGTTTTAATCCATATTCTGTGGATTTGAATTCTAGCTTTGATGCTATCTTCTGAAACCTTGGATGATTACATGTCTATATTGTGCTTTGATTTAATCATCTCAATGGCGATAATGTTAATACTGACTTTATAAAGTTGTTATGAAGATTAAATGAATTAATATATGTAAAGATATTTAGAACAGAGCATGACATGTATTAACCCTATGTAAGTTTTATTTTTATTTTATAGAATGGGGAGAGGGAAAGTAGCATTGGCAGGAGTATCCCAATATGTGGACATGGCTAATGCAAAGACATAGGCAAGAGCGAGATAATAATGAACTATAGCAATTACATTAAGTTGTGGTTAATGTAGAGCAGGAGTAAGCAAACCACAGCCCTTTGTTTGTAAATAAAGTTTTATTGGAACATAGCCATGCCCATATTTTTACATATTATCTATGGCTACTTTCATGCTATAATGCTAGAGTTGACTAGTTGCAACAGACCTTCTGGCCCATGAAGCTGAAAATACTTACTATCTGGTGCTTTACAGAAAAAGCTTACCAACTCTTGATGTTGAGAATATTTGCATTTGAAGAATATATGGAACATTTTGACTTCAAATTCTAAAAGTTCTAGAAATACTAAACCTGACTTACCTTTATCCTTCATTATTAGAAGCATTACCAATTTTCTATGTCTAATTGTATCCAGAGCCTGTTATTCTGCTATTACTGTGGAAAGTTCTTTGATAGTGCAGCCTGATTGCTTTTAATCTCTTTGTTCTTTGAAACAGGTGTGGCAGTAGCTCTGTGGACCCAGTTTCTGTGAATAGGCTGAGCTTTGTGAGGAACAGATGCAGGTGAGATCCTAAGTGGTGAAAACCAATGGGATGGCCAAATACCTGTAGAGATCATCACATTTTTACCTATCTTACTGTAGTCGTTCCTTCAGCAGCCCTCACTTTCATCCCTTACCTCCCAGTTACTTTTTTTTCTGGCAATATTTTCCTAAACTTCTAAAACTTCTCTTGAAAATCCTGTTTAAGGAAGTTGCTATGCTATTTTACCTGCTTTCCTCCTACTGCATACCTTTTGGTTACTTTACTTTGGCAAGGGTAAAAATGTGGTGGTCATTTTTGGGTGGGAAAGCTGATTATCCTGTTTTGTAAACTCCTAAGAGCCTAAACTTAAAGGTACTAAGCCAGCATTGCCCTTTGAGTTTTACTGAGTAGATTTTTTTTTTTTCTAATTCCTGTAACTCTTCTAGGAATGGACTTGGCTCTGTAAAGGATGGGGAACCTCACTTCGTGGTGGTCCACTGCACAGGCTACATCAAGGCCTGGCCCCCAGCAGGTAAGAAAGTGAAACAGTAGATATTTCCCCTTAGTACCGTTGGTTTCTCACAGAGTCCATGAAAACTAGTGTTTATTATATACCTGGTATATGAAATGTACTTTTGTATAATATGAAAGAAAATAGGAAAGTAAAATACACAATCTTTCCCTTCCGTTATTGAGCTTTTATTCCAGTTGAGGAGATAGATAATTCAGGCTGGAAAATGATTCAGTGTTGGCTATGTCACAGAATGTGGTCTTTAAATGCACAAATTTATACTGAACATATGTGTTCTAAGCATTTCTTGCAAAGAAGCATAGACATTGAATGCAGTTAATTTGAGAAAGCTTTCTAAACTAGGAACAAGACTTTGAGGGAAAAGGGAAATGCCTTTATTGTAATAACTTATTGAGGATATTCTCTGCAAAGGCTTTAAATCAAGCTTTGAGCAGATTGGCTTTACTAGAACTTGAGGTCAAACACGGAATGTGAGAAAGGTGATTGGGTTGAAGGGATCAACGTTTTAAGTTGGCTTGTCAGAGTTTCCAAATCTTAGCAACTTTATTACTTCCCTGCCGCATGGATATTATTGGAAAGTAGGGATTTGGGGGAGACAGAAACTAAGAGAAAAGAGAAGCAAGGTGATGTGTTTCAGAAAGAGGTTAAACTTTGGACGTGGAAAAACCTGGGTATGATTCCTGTCATTGTTATTTATTAGTGGCATTGCCTAGGGTAAGTTGCTTGACCTTTATAAAGCTCAGTTTTCTCATCTGTAATTTGGAGTTAGTACATCCTGTATAGGGGTTTTGTGAGGATTAGATTTAATTTAAGGAAAGCATCCAGCCCAGTGCCTGGCATGTGGCAGGTACCCAATAAAAGTAGTTAATGTAATTTTAAAAAATTTCACTGAAGTAGTAATGACATTTGAATTACTTAGTCTATATACTACATAATCCATACATTTAAAGTATGTTATCTTTCATACCTCTGTGTAGCATCAAGGAGTACTATTTTTTTTTTTTTTTTTTTTTTTGAGACGGAGTCTTGCTCTGTCGCCCAGGCTGGAGTGCCGTGGCCGGATCTCAGCTCACTGCAAGCTCCGCCTCCCAGGTTCACGCCATTCTCCCGCCTCAGCCTCCCGAGTAGCTGGGACTACAGGCGCCCACCACTTCGCCCGGCTAGTTTTTTGTATTTTTTTAGTGGAGACGGGGTTTCACCGTGTTAGCCAGGATGGTCTCGATCTCCTGACCTCGTGATCCACCCGTCTCGGCCTCCCAAAGTGCTGGGATTACAGGCTTGAGCCACCGCGCCCGGCCAAGGAGTACTATTTTTCTGGATAAAAAGAATGTTAACTGTGCAAACAATAGGGGAGAAATGCAGTCTTCTTCCTTTTCTCTGTAAAACATTGGTTTCTCTCTTTTCCAAGGGACATGAATAACTATTGATGGTTGGTATAACTTCGTTTTGGGTTGCTTGCTAACTTTAAAAGTCACAGATTAGGCCGGGCGCGGTGGCTCAAGCCTGTAATCCCAGCACTTTGGGAGGCCGAGGCGGGCGGATCACGAGGTCAGGAGATCGAGACCATCCTGGCTGACACGGTGAAACCCCGTCTCTACTAAAAAATACAAAAAACTAGCCGGGCGAGGTGGCGGGCACCTGTAGTCCCAGCTACTCGGGAGGCTGAGGCAGGAGAATGGCATGAACCTGGGAGGCGGAGCTTGCAGTGAGCTGAGATCCGGCCACTGCACTCCAGCCTGGGCGGCAGAGCGAGACTCCGTCTCAAAAAAAAAAAAAAAAGTCACAGATTAGGCAAAGCATACATTTTCTGCCTATAACATGGTCATAGAATGGATGTCTTCATATATGCCTTATTTGGCCAGCATAGTTTTTTAGAATACTCTGGGTAGGACTTGTATTTCCAGTTTACTATAATTAACATGGGTAAAAGGTAGGAATCAATATATATGTAAATACTTAAAACAATGACTGGCATATATGGTAAATTTTATGTAATTGTTTATTTTTATTCTTATTTATCTTTCTCTATTGCTTTATGCTTAGCCTCTTCATAACTGGATGTATTTTGTTTTGTTTTGCTTTTTGTTTTTTTTTTTTGAGAGGGAGTCTCACTCTGTCTGTCACCCAGACTGGAGTCCAGTGGCGCGATCTCGGTTCTCTGCAGCCTCTACCTCCTGGGTTCAAGTGATTCTCTCACCTCAGCCTCCCAAGTAGCTGAGATTACAGGCGCACGCCACCACGCCTGGCTAATTTTTGTATTTTTAGTAGAGATGGGGTTTCACCGTGTTGGTCAGGCTGGCCTCAAGCTCCTGTCCTCAAGTGATCTGCCCACCTCGGCTTCCCAAATTGTTGGGATTACAGGCGTGAGCCACGGTGCCTGGCCCATAAATAGGTCTATTTTGAATCTTTACTTGTCTGAGTTTTGAAGGCATTTGAGTTGGAGGTCCCTGTTAAACCTTTTAACCTCACCTTTCTGAAGGTGTTTCCCTCCCAGATGATGACCCAGAGGCTGGCCAGGGAAGCAAGTTTTGCCTAGTGGCCATTGGCAGATTGCAGGCAAGTATGAATTTTCCACATGTATATCCCCTTTCAATTAGAAAAAATCTTCAGGACTCATTCCTGTTAATTTTCTTTTACTTTCTGAATACAAATGAAGAATTCCACAAAACTGTAAAAATTTGAAGGAATATGGCATTTATAGTGACCATTGCTATTCTTGGACTTAAGTAGAAGTTGAAAAGCATGAGAGGAGGGAGATCTTTTTCCCCTTGTCTTAATTTTAGCTTTACTATGCTTAATTTTCAATTTCCAGTTAATCTCCTTTCCCCCTGTACAAAAGAAGAAAGATCCTTTTCATTTTATCATTACCTGACTAACATTAGAAAAGTGGAATTATTTTGATTTTTTTTCATAAGTATAGATAAGTTTCTTGGTTACTTATACCATATCAGCCTGAGTAATGAGCTCAGCCTAGCTAGATGAAAGTATGTGGATTTTGGGTTGAATAAACTTTATTCTTACTTTACTAACTTGGTAAAGTGTAAATGTTTGGGAGTAGAGCTAGACCTTATGCCTTGTCTGATTGTGATTGTCATTTTTTTTCCTTTTTGGATAAAATGTGAACGTTTAGAAAGTCCTAAAATGGAATCTTATGTGTATGCCAAAGACCATGAGGAGATAGGAAATACATCTGTAAAGACTGGTGTCATTTTACCTCATTTTTATCTCTTCACTCTCAGGTAACTAGTTCTCCCAATTGTACAGACATGAGTAATGTTTGTCAACCAACAGAGTTCATCTCCCGACACAACATTGAGGGGATCTTCACTTTTGTGGATCACCGCTGTGTGGCTACTGTTGGCTACCAACCGCAGGTGAGGAGCTGGAGCTATTACATCACTAATACTTAGGCCTCCATTTTCCTTTGGCTGTTTTGAGATTATGTGATCATGTAGTTCCTAAGATAGCCAAAACATACCAACCTCAGTTGAGAAAAAGAGATCATCATATTCTATTAGTACCTAACATTATTTTCAGCTTCCTATTAGGACTGTCATCTCATGTAGAGAAATACGGCTTGTCAAACCAGGTGGGAGCAGCAGGTACAAATATGTATTTATTTTTTGTTATTCATATTAATACAGGTAATGATTCAAAGGTACTCATATTAATTAGTTACACCAGTATAGCCACATTTAGATAATTCACGTAATTACCTAAATGAATAATGGCCCATAAAACATGCAGATTTAGCACCAGTTATTATAATTTACTCGTGCAACAGACCAGTTAGCCATCTCTGAATTGACTCATCATATAAACTTTTAAAAGGGCTGTGGGAAGGAAAGACTTCTGGCTGTGGCTGTGTGAAAGAGGTTGGTGAAAAAGAGGTCTTGAAAACAAAGAACAAAGAGAATTTACACTACCTGATTCAATACTAACTATAAAGCTATTACCAAGACAGTGTGGTGTTGGTGTAAGGATAGATACATAGATCAATAGATCAGAATAAGGTCTATTCTTATACTTGTCAACTAATTTTCAGCAAAGGTGCCAAGACAATTCAATGGATAAAATAAATATTTCTAACAAATGGAACAATTCGATATCTGTATGCAAAAAAAAAAAAACCACACCCAAAAATAAAAACACATAGATCTTATCTTATGCAATTTACAAAATCAGCTCAAAGGCCTAAATGTGTAAGAGCTAAAGTTACAAATAAACTCCTAGGAGAAAATCTCTGTGATTTTGAGTTAAGCAAAAGATTTCTTACATGACACTAAAAGCATGATTCACAGAAGAAAAAAAATGATAAATTGGATTTAATTGTAATTAAAGTTTGCCATCTTTAAAGGATATTATTAAGAAAATGAAAAAAACCAGACATAAATGGAGAGAAAATAGTTACAAATCATATATCTGAAAGAGGCTTTGTACCAGGAATATATAAATAACTCATTAAGACCAACAGCTGGTAAAAAAGGGCACAAGACTTGACATTTGACCAAAGAATAAATATGCACTTATGCACATGAAAAGATGCTCAACATCTTTTTACCCTTAGGAAACTGCAAATTAAAATCACAATGAGATACCCACTAGAATGGCTATAATCAAAAAGTATTGTTGAAAATGTGTAGAAGCTGGAAGGAACCCTCATACATTGCTGATAGACTTGTAAAATGGTATAGCTACTTTGCAAAAGCATTTTGGCAATTTCCTACAAAGTTAAACATACTCTTATCCTATAACCTAGCAATTTCATTCCTAAGTATCTACCTAAGAGAAATGAAAACATGTTCACACATAGATTTGTACATAGTTGTACACAGTTCATATCTGTATTATTCATAATAGCCAAAAAATGGAAACTATTTAAACGTCCATTAACATTTTGTAAATGAATACAACTGTGTTGTATCCATGTTAGAATACTACTGAGCATAAAAAGAAATAAACTACTGATAATGCAACCATGTAGATGAACTTCAAAAATACCATGCTCAGTGAAAGAAGCTAGACCCAAGACCACATACTGTTTTGTTTTATTTATATGAAATTTGTAGAAATAGCAGAACTAGAGAGGCAGAAAGCAGATTTGTGGTTGGCTGGGGAGGGGAGTGGGAACAGAGATTGACTGCAGATAGTCCAAGGGAACTTTTCGAGGCAGTGAACGTGTTCTAAAACTGGATTGTGGTAATCATTGCACAATTGTATAAATTTAGTAGAAGTCGTCAAATCATACACTTAGAAAGGCTGAATTATGAATATAAATTATACCTAAAATTTATAATCTCATTAAAATAAATATATAATATTCTGAAAAAGAAAAATGTTTTAGAAGCCAGCTCCTTAACAGATTCTGTCTTCTTTTAGCATATTTCATCTTTTGTTTATTGTCTTATTTTTCCCTCCACGCTTAACTATAATCTTAGGATCAAAACAGAAGAAATAAAATCCAGGTCCCCAGCTGATGGGCCAGGCCGGTTAGATGACCATAAAAGTATATATGTTGGCTGGGTATGGTGGCTCACACCTGTAATTCCAGCACTTTGGGAGGCCAAGGCAGGTGGATCACTTGAGGTCAGGAGTTCGAGACCAGCCTGACCAACATGGTGAAACCCTGTCTCTACTAAACAAAAATACAAAATTAGCCAGGTGTGTGATAGCACATGTCTGTAATCCCAGTTACTTGGGAGGTTGAGGCAGGAGAATTGCTTGAACCCAGGAGGCGGAGGTTATAGTGAGCCAAGATTGTGCCATTGTACTCCAGCCTGGGCAACAAGAGCAAAACTCCATCTTAAAAAAAAAGTATATATCATACTTTTCTTTCTCTCTTCTAGGAACTCTTAGGAAAGAATATTGTGGAATTCTGTCATCCTGAAGACCAGCAGCTTCTAAGAGACAGCTTCCAACAGGTAACTTTTTTCCTGGTTTGGTTCTGAATAAATATTTATCATATTCACTCCATAAATATTGACTACTGATTAACTGAACACTGTGGCAGGCACTACAGTTTTATGTTCTTTAGTACTTAATCTGCATTTTTAAGAAATAGAAAAGGATTAATACTTTGAAATTATGGATAATCCCCAAGGTATTTCTGTTTGGCTTTGGCTATTTACTGTCTTGTATTCAATTAACTGTTTCCAAGGAGCTGTCTTTAAGGTATTTAAACTATTGGGCCAAGCATGGTGGCTCATGCACCCAGTCTCTGTAGATGCTGTGAAAATAGATGTTCTCATCTGGGCGCCGTGGCTCACACCTATAATCCCAGCTCTCTGGGAGGCTGAGGCAGGTGGATCACTTGAGGCCAGGAGTTCAAGACCAGCCCGGCCAACACAGTGAAACCCCATCTCTACTGAAAATACAAAAAATTAGCCTGGTATGGTGGTGCATGCCTGTAATCCCAGGTACTCGGGAGGCTGAGGCACAAGAATCACTTGAACCGGGGAGGCAGAAGTTGCAGTGAGCTGAGATCATACCACTGTACTCCAGCCTGGATGGCAGAGCTAGACTGTCTCAAAAAAAAAAAAAAGAAAACGGTATACTTTACTAAGCTTGTAGTAGAAAAATTCATTTTATACAGTTAATTTTTTTTTTAGGAGTCTAGCTCTGTCGCCAGGGTGGAGTGTAGTGTGTGATCTCGGCTCATTGTAACCTCTGCCTCCCGGGTTCAAGCGATTCTCCTGTCTCAGCCTCCCAAGTAGCTGGGATTACAGGCATGCGCTGCCACGCCCAGCTAATGTTTGTATTTTTAGTAGAGACAGGGTTTCAACATGTTGGCCAGGATGGTCTCAATCTCCTGACCTTGTGATCCACCCGCCTCAGCCTCCCAAAGTGCTGGGATTACAGGCGTGAGCCATTGCGCCCAGCCCAGACGGTTCTTTTATGGATCAGTGAGAGTTGTAATGAATTATATAAGCTGACTGTTAATTGTCATTCTCAGGCTTCAGCTTCTGAAAATATCTGGTGAATTTTATAGACGGCTTTCGATAACGGTTTTTACTTTGTATTAGACAAGTTAATTAACCTCTTTAAGTCTCAGTAGTGTCCTTACTGATACAATGAATATATTAATAGTACCTTAATTCAGATGGTTGTTGGGAAGATTAAATAAGGTAATGAATATAAAACACATCACCCAGTATTTGATACATAGTATTACAAAATAGGTGGTTGGCTTCTAATACTGCTTTTTTATTTTTTCTTTTTTAATTTTTAGGAATATAGAGTTAAAAGATTATTTTCTATTCCATGAGGCTAGTATGTAAAATAACCTAAAATTGGCTGGGCATGGTCACTCACGCCTGTAATCCCAGCACTTTGGGAGGCTGAGGCAGGTGATCACTTGAAGCCAGGAGTTTGAACCAGCCTGGCCAACATCTTGAAACCCTGTCTCTATTAAAAATACAAAAATTAGCCAGGTATGGTGGCTCATGCCTGTAGTCCCAACTACTTGGGAGGCTGAGGCACGAGAATTGCTTGAACCCAGGAGGCAGAGGTTGCAGTGACCCAAGATTGCCCCACTACACTTCAGCCTGGGTGATAAAGCAAGACTATCTAAAAATAAAATAAAATAAAAAATAGAATAACTTAAATTACTTTTAAAAAGCAAAACAAGACTAAAGCCAACTTAATTTTATTTATGGAAGCCTCTGTAGATACTGTGAAAACAGATGTTGTCTGGGCGCCGTGGCTCATGCCTATAATCCCAGCACTTTGGGAGGCCAAGGCAGGCAGATCATTTGAGGTCAGGAGTTTGAGACCAGCCTGGCCAACATGGTGAAAACCCATCTCTACTAAAAATACAAAAATTAGCTGGGTGTGGTGGGGCACACCTGTAGTCCCCAGCTACTCAGGAGGCTAAGGCAGGAGAATCACTTGAACCCGGGAGGCGGAGGTTGCAGTGAGCCAAGATTGCACCACTGCACTCCAGCCTGGGCAGTAGAGTGAGACTCCATCTCAAAGAAAAAAAGAAAAAAAAGAAAAAAAATGAAAACAGATGTTCTCAGATTTCAGGGGAAAAAATAGGACTGAAGAGCAACATGTAAGCTATATTCAGTGTCATTAAACTTACCAAATTTCTGGTATAGACTTGTAAAGGTAGCTCAGAGTATTTTTAATGGATATCCCAAGGGAAGTAGGGAAACAGTCTTTTCCTTCCTGGAAATAAGTATTATTCCTTTTTGACTAGAATAGTAATAGGTTGGTGCAAAAGAAATTGTGGTTTTTGCCATTTTTTTTTTAATGGCAAAAATGCAGTGACTTTTGCACCAACCTAATAAGAAAGCTTGAGTCTCTGGCCGGGCTCAGTGGCTCAAGCCTATAATCCCAGCACTTTGGGAGGCCAAGGCAGGCGGATCACGAGGTCAGGAAATTGAGACCATCCTGGCCAACATGGTGAAACCCTGTCTCTACTGAAAATACAAAAATTAACTGCGCATGGTGGCACGTGCCTGTAATCTCAGCTACTCGAGAGGCTGAGGCAGGAGAATTGCTGGAACCAGTGAGTCGGAGGTTGTAGTGAGCTGAGATTGCGCCACTGCACTCCAGCCTGGTGACAGAGCGAGGCTCCGTCTCAAAAAAAAAAGGCTGGGCACAGTGGCTCACGCCTGTAATCCCAGCACTTTGGGAAGCCGAGGCGGGCGGATCACGAGGTCAGGAGATCAAGACCATCCTGGCTAACATGGTGAATACACCGTCTCTACTAAAAATATAAAAAATTAGCCGAGCGTGGTGGCACGTGCCTGTAGTCCCTGCCACTTGGGAAACTGAGGCAGGAGAATCGCTTGAACCTGAGAGGTGGTGGTTGCAGTGAGTAGAGATCGCACCACTGCACTCTAGATGAAAGGAAGCATGAGAAATATGCTTCCATATTGAATCACTTAGTTTTTACTCTCATTTTGTTTTAATATTGAAAAATACTGGTGCCTCAAGGACAATGACAAGAGTTTTAGGGTTGTAGAAATGGGAAAATTTTTATTTATTTTTGTAATGAAAATTTTCTATGAGTTCCACTGATGGCATGAAAACTTTTTCAGGTGGTGAAATTAAAAGGCCAAGTGCTGTCTGTCATGTTCCGGTTCCGGTCTAAGAACCAAGAATGGCTCTGGATGAGAACCAGCTCCTTTACTTTCCAGAACCCTTACTCAGATGAAATTGAGTACATCATCTGTACCAACACCAATGTGAAGTATGTGTTATACAGGAGTGTGAAAAAACTGTTTTTCCTCTACTCTCACAACACAAAATACTTCTGATGCCCTATGTGAGGGGTAAACAATCAAGCAATAACACAAAAATTAGCCAGGCATGGTGGCATGTGCTTGTAGTCCCAGCTACTCGGGAGGCTGAGACAGTAGAATCGCTTGAACCTGAGAGGTGGAGGTTATAGTGAGCTGGGATCACCCCACTGCACTCCAGCCTGGGCTACAGAGTGAGATTCCATTTCAAAAAAAGATAAAAAAGAAAAAAAAAAATCAAGCGATCAGTTCTGCAGTGGACACCAGCTGGGTGTCCTTCCATTCAATTCAGTTCACTATCTACTCGGAGATAGCATCAGATCCCCCAATTTGTGGATGCAGTACCACAAGACTGCTCCCACTTCCGATGCCAGTTGCAAGCCCCAGGTTGTTTTACCTGTGCATCTGACTGACCAGCTGTCTCCCATGACCCCCTACTTGGGTTCAGTCAATTTGCTTGAATGGCTCGGGGAACATTTACCTATGTTTACCAGTTTATTATAAAAGATATTACAAAGGATACTAGTGAACATCAGATGAAGAGATAGATAGGGCAAGGTAAGGAGGAAGGAGCACAGAACTTTCAAACTCTTTCTGGGTGGACTACCCTCCAGGGATTTCCATGTGTTTACCTATTAAGAAGCTCCTCAAACCCAGTCCTTTTGGGTTTTAATGGAAATTTCATTATGTAGGCATGAGTGATTAAATCATTGGCCATTGGTGATCAACTTAACCTTAGGTCCCACTCCCCTCCATGAGGTTGCAGGTTAGGGCTATAAGTCCCAACCCTCTAATTTTGCCTTGATCTTTCCTTGGACAAGCCCCCATCTTGAAGCTACCTAGGGGTTGCCGGCCCTCAGTCAACTCATTAACAGACAGAAAGACACTTATCACACTGAAGATTCCAAAGATTTTAATTAGTAAAAATCCAGGTCCACTTATACATGGATTTTTTTCAGTAAATGTTTTGGAAAATTCTTTTGATATTTGTGACAATTTGAAAAACCTGAAAATAAGCTACATAGCCTAGATGTATTGAAAAAATTAGAAAAAGTTAGGCATGTCATGCATGAATATATTAAATACATATAAATTCTAGTCTATTTTATCATTTACTACCATACAACATATACAAATCTATTATAAAAAGTAAAAATGCTGGCCAGGTGCAGTGGCTCACACCTGTAATCCCATCACTTTATCACTTTGGGAGACCGAGTTGAGCAGATCACTTGAGGTCAGGAGTTTGAGACCAACCTGGCCAACGTGGTGAAACCCTGTCTCTACTAAAAAAAAAAAGAAAATACAGAAATTAGCTGGGCATGGTGGCACGTGCCTATAGTCCCAGCTACTTGGGAGGTTAAGGTATGAGAATCACTTGAACCTGGGAGGTGCAGGTTGCAGTGAGCTGAGATCGTGCCAGTGCACTCCAGCCTGGGTGACAGTGAGACTCCATCTCCAAAAAATAAAAAAGTAAAAATGCATCACAACGTATACATATACACCATTTGTACAATGGCACCATTTGTAGTTGAGAGAAATGTAAACAAATGTAAAGATGCAGTTTTAAATCATAACTGTGTAAAGTTAACGGTAGTATATACTATACTATTGTAATAATTTTGTAGCCACCTCCTATTGCTCAATTGTTGCCAGTTTGCTTAAAATTCTGTGTGATGCTAATCATCTCTTCATGAGCAATTCACTCCCATAAATTGCATATTGCAGTAAAAAGTGAAATCTCATGGTTCTTGCATATTTTTCATCATGTTTAGTGCAATACTGAAACCTTGAATAACATTTGGGAACAGTATGAAGTGCCACTAGTGATGCTGGAAATCTTCCCAAGAAGCAGGGAAAAGTCATGACATTATAAGAAAAAGGTGAATTGCTTGATATGTACTATAGAATGAAGTCTGCAGCTGTGGTTGCTTGACACTTCATATAGATGACTCATCTTGTAAGTCATCTTGTAAGATGATATAAGCTTATGATAACGATAAATACAGTACAGTGCTGTAAATGTATTTTCTCTTCCTTACGATTTTCTTAATATTTTCTCTTTAACTTTATTGTAAGAATACAGTACATAATACATACAACATACAGAACGTGTTAATCAACTGTTTATGTTATTGGTAAGGCTTCTGGCCAACAGTAGGCTATTAGTAGTAAAGTTTTGGGAGAGTCAGAAGTTACAGTCGAATTTTCGACGGCACAGGGGTGGGTGCCCCTAGCCTCCATGTTCAGCAATCAGTTGTATTTCATAATATCACATAGGCATTTTCCAATGTTGGGATTTCTAATGTACCAGCTCTTCTTAGTCTTATCAAGCTGTTCCCTTCTCCTCACTTTTCTAGTATTAAACACCATTAGTTTGAAGTTCCTCATTTTCCAACTTATAGGATTTGGGATAGCTGATCAGAGTAGAGTGAGGTTTTTTTGTTTTTGTTTTTGTTCTGTTTTGTTTTGTTTTCAGAAAGGGTCTCGCTCTGGAACCCAGGCTGGAATGCAATGGTGTGATCATGGCTCACTGCAGCCTCAACCTCCCAGGCGCAAGCGATCCTCCCACCTCAGTCCCCTGAGTAGCTGGGACTACAGACATCCACCAAGATGCCTGGCTAATTTTTGTATTTTTTGTAGAGATGGGATTTTTCCATGTTGCAGAGTCTGGTCTTAAATTCCTGGGCACAGGCAGTCCGTCCTCCTCCCAAAGTGCTGGGATCACAGGCATAAGCCACTGCACCTCGCCAGAATAAGATTTTACAAACAATAATTCAGAGACTAGGTCCTGAGATGGAAGGGTTTATGTTTCAATTCTGTGTATCAGCTCTTTCTGGAAAAGATTATGTTTTGTACACCAGTTTATTGCTCTAGTCTGACAGGATTTTCCTCTGGAGCAGGGGTAGGCAAGCTCTTTCTGTAAGGGGGGCTAGATAGTAAATATTTTAGGCTTTGTGGGCCATGTGGTCTTTATTCCACCTACTCAACTCTGCTGTAGCATGAAAGCAGTCATAGACAAATGAAAGAATGTGGCTGTGTTCCAGTAAATCTTTATTTAGAAAAACAGGCAGTGGGCCTGATTGGGTCAGTTTTCTTTAGAGCATAGCTACGTCCTCCTCTTTCATTAGTTACTGTTCCTCTCTTTTGCACTTTTCTATTTGACCTTTCTTTCGCAGCTGCTTTTTAAAAAAGTTTTATGAGATATATTTCACATACCATACACCTCACCCATTTAAAGTATACAGTGTTTTTTAGTATATCACATAGTTATGTAACTCTTACTGCAGTCTAATTTCAGAATATTTTCATTCCCCCAAAACAAATTCTAGATCAGTTAACAGTCATTCCCTGTTCTTTCCCCCCGCTCTGAAGTTCTATATAACTATGAATCTGTTGTCTTTATAAATTTGTCTATTCTAGACATTTTGTATAAATGGAATCACAGACTATGTAGTTCCTTTGTAACTGGCCTCTTTCACTTAGTATAATGTTTACAAAGGTTATCCATGTTGTAGCATGTATCAGTACTTCATTTCTTTTTTTTTTTTTTTTTGATGGAGTCTCGCTCTGTCACCCAGGCTGGAGTACAGTGGCATGGTCTCAGCTCACTGCAAGCTCTGCCTCCTGGGTTCACGCCATTCTCCTGCCTCAGCCTCCTGAGTAGCTGGGACTACAGGCACCCGCCACCTCGCCCGGCTAGTTTTTTGTATTTTTAGTAGAGATGGGGTTTCACCGTGTTAGCCAGGATGGTCTCGATCTCCTGACCTCGTGATCCGCCCACCTCGGCCTCCCAAAGTGCTGGGATTATAGGCGTGAGCCACCGCACCCAGCCTACTTCATTTCTTTTTATTGCCAAATAAGATTTCATTGTATGGATATACCACATACTGTCTGTGTGTTCATTAATGGACATTTGGTTGTTTCTACTTTTTGGTTATCAAAAATGCTTCCATCTGTAAAATAGGGATAAGGAGCTGAAAAAATGCTTTCATGAATATTTGTGTACTAGTTTTTGTGTGGATATATGTTTTTATTCTCTTGAATTCCACCCAGGAGTGGAATTGCTGGCCACATAGTAACTCTGTTTTACCTTTTGAGGAATTGCCAAACTGTTTTCCAAAGCTGCCCCATCATTCTGCATTCCCAGGAGCAGTGTACAAGGGCTCTGATTTCTCCACATCCTTGTTAACACTTGTTACTGTCTTTTTGTTTATTATAGCCATCTAGTAGTTATCAATTGTCTGGTTACCACCTTGCCATTTAATCCTTTTTCTGTAGAATTGGCCTTGAATCCAGCTCTTTAGATTATGACTACGTAGCAAGTATGAATAATACCTGGTGACAACAGTATTGTTCAATTCAGTCTTTAGAACTTGTAAAGTTTAATTCTTTGCTAGCTTAGTATAACAGAGTGGATTGAGTTAGAAATTTTTATTAACTTAGGACTCAAGTGGATGGTCATGGTCATTGTAGCTCTTTATTTTTGTCTTTTTGCATCTTTATATTACACAACAACCATCATTTTTGTGTTTCCATTTTGTTTAAATTTTTAAAAATTAAGCTGTTTTAAGGACTTGAGTTTCTGGAAATAATTGCTTTCTCCATGTTTATGTATCATTTTCCCTGCCATGATTAATTTTAATTAGCTTTTAGGGATTTTTTTGTTTGTTTGTTTGTTTCATTGAGACAGTGTCTCACTCTGTCACCCAGACTGGAGTGTGGTGGCGCTCTCTCAGCCCACTGCAACCTCCACCTCCCAGGCTCAAGCGATCCTCCTACCTGTCTCCTGAGTAGCTGGGACTACAGGAGCCCACCGCCATGCCTGTTAATTTTTGTGTTTTTTGTAGAGACGGGGGCTTCACCATGTTGCCCAGGCCAGTCTCAGACTCCTGAGCTCAAGCAGTCCACCCTGCCTCAGCCTCCCACAGTGCCAGGATTACAGGTGTGAGCCACCGTGCCTGTCTAGTATTTTATTTTTAAATAAATGTTCTTTATAGAAAATGTGGAAAGTATGGAAAAATACAGAGAGAAGGAATAAAATTTTCACACTCCAGATAGTCTTTGTTAATGTACAGTGTACGTACTTTCAGTTTTTTACCTATGCTTTTAAAAAATACCTTATATGAATATGTACACACATCCACAACAACCAGGTTTTGAATACCTAGAAGGAGTTAGAACCCAACAAGATGACCCCTGTGTCATAGAACATAGTTTCTATTTGCTGAAACTGACACCCTAGATTAACTGTAGGATTGTACTTTAATGAAGGATTTATTGATTGTTCCACCTACAGATTAATCTATAGAGCTTTACATACAAAACCTGATTCTTCTCTTTCTCTCTCTCTTCCCCCTTCCTCCTCCTCCACCCCCGCTTTACTGTCTACTCTGTTTTCCTAGGAACTCTAGCCAAGAACCACGGCCTACACTCTCCAACACAATCCAGAGGCCACAGCTAGGTCCCACAGCTAATTTACCCCTGGAGATGGGCTCAGGACAGCTGGCACCCAGGTAAGAAATGGTCAAATAATCATCTGTTGAGCAGTCACCCAGGGGGTGGTCATTTGCAATCCCATATATTTTTTGTTTGGTTGGTTGGTTAGTATTTTTTTTTATTTATTTTTATTTTTTTTTGAGAAGGAGTTTTGCTCTCATTGCCCAGGCTGGAGTGCAATGGCATGATCTAGGCTCACTGCAACCTCTGCCTCCTGGGTTCAAGTGATTCACCTGCCTCAGCCTCCTCAATAGCTGGGATTACAGGTGCCTGCCACCACCCCCGGCTAATTTTTTGTATTTTTAGTAGAGACAGGGTTTCGCCATTTTGGCCAGGCTGGTCTCGAACTCCTGACCTCAGGTGATCCACCTGCCTCGGCCTCCCAAAGTGTTGGGATTACAGGCGTAAGCCACCATGCCTGGCCTGTTTGATTTGTTTTAAGGTTCTTTCTCCAGGTTCTTTAAAAAAAAATTTTTTTTTTTCTATTCTCAACTGGCCTTTGACATATAGGCAGCAGCAACAGCAAACAGAATTGGACATGGTACCAGGAAGAGATGGACTGGCCAGCTACAATCATTCCCAGGTGAGTTGTGTCCTCTTCGCTGAAGAGGATAGGGAGTATTTACTTAGGAAGTGTTCTCCAGTACTAGTTAGAATGTACATATGTTTTATATGAATTTTAGGGTTATTGAATCATCATGTTAAATCTTTAATGGTTATTTTTATCATTGTATTCCACAGGTTGTTCAGCCTGTGACAACCACAGGACCAGAACACAGCAAGCCACTTGAGAAGTCAGATGGTTTATTTGCCCAGGATAGAGATCCAAGATTTTCAGAAATCTATCACAACATCAATGCAGGTATGTTTCTTTCTCATTATCCTTTTACATTCTCATTTAGATCACTTACTGATGGGCATGCCACTGCCCAATCAGTAATCTTCCAGTGTTTTTCCACTTAATCATAATACCACCTGAGTAAATAGGAACTTGCTGAACTAATATACTACAGCCCCTTGACTGGCCCTCCCCCAACTCCTTTTGGTCCACAGATCAGAGTAAAGGCATCTCCTCCAGCACTGTCCCTGCCACCCAACAGCTATTCTCCCAGGGCAACACATTCCCTCCTACCCCCCGGCCGGCAGAGAATTTCAGGTGAGCCCCGTATATATGTGCTGCTTTACAGGGCCCTAAGGGATTCAGCTGCTGAATCCAAATTTTATTCTTCCCTTGCTTTCTCTGGTTATTTCAGAAAAAGCAGTGAAGCTTGTAGGGCCTAGCGTAAGGCAAACAAGCTGCTTTTCCTCCTTCTATTTCTTTGCACCTGTCCTATTGCCATGTTCTAGGCTCCATCTCTGTGTGTCCTGGTCAGTGTGTGACTGTCAGTCTTTCTTGTCTTTTCCAACTTGTTACCAAATTTTCCCTAACCTGCAGGAAGTCAGAGGGATCTAGGGATAGCACTAGATTGTCCTTTGATTCCTGGCTTCTGTGATAAATCTATCCCTTTAATCCTTTACCTCATTTATTCACTCCTAGGAATAGTGGCCTAGCCCCTCCTGTAACCATTGTCCAGCCATCAGCTTCTGCAGGACAGATCTTGGCCCAGATTTCCCGCCACTCCAACCCCACCCAAGGAGCAACCCCAACTTGGACCCCTACTACCCGCTCAGGCTTTTCTGCCCAGGTAAAACCTATCATCTGTTTGTTCCCTGTGTATTATTTTTTGTTTGTTTGGGCTTTTTTCCCATATGTAAAATCAGTGTTTTTTATTTTAAATACCTTCTCCACAACCCCTGTTCTCCAGTTTCCAGTTTCCATCTTTGTTGAGAGTAGCTAATTAAAAATCACAGATAATAAAAAAATCTCAGTAGAGTCTGTGGTTTTTATCTTAAATATTCACCTTAAATCATAATTGCTCACTTGGAACATTTTGAGCACGTCCGATTTTCAGATTTGTTTTGGAGTAGATTCTAAGATGTTTCCTCTTTGTTTAGGACTCCATAAGGCAGGAAAAAAGGAGAAAATTAATGACTAACTTACAGTGATATCTGTTTACAAAAAAGTTCAAACATTCTTTTTCTTTTTTTTTTTTTTGAGATGGAGTCTCGCTGTGTTGCCCAGGCTCTAGAGTGCAGTGGCGCGATCTCGGCTCACTGCAAGCTCTGCCTCCCAGGTTCATGCCATTCTCCTGCCTCAGCCTCCCGAGTAGCTGGGACAACAGGCGCCCGCCACCATGCCCGGCTAATTTTTTGTATTTTTGGTAGAGACGGGGTTTCACTGTGTTAGCCAGGATGGTCTCAATCTCTTGACCTCGTGATCTGCCCACCTCGGCCTCCCAAAGTGCTGGGATTATAGGCGTGAGCCACTGCACCCGGCCGAAAAATTCTTATATAATATTCATATATGTAATATAATGCACAATAAATACATTGTCTAAAGAAATATTCTTTAATATTACTATATATTTATGTTATACAAGTAATAGTTTTAAAAAGTGAAAACCAAAAGCAGACTGCAGAATATTATATGCAATCTGATCTCAATTGTGTACAAAATGCACGAGAAAATAGAAACTGGAAGAAATTATCCAAACATGTTTACCATGGAATTACGAATGATTCTTATTTTCTTTATATTTTCCTTCACTTTCCAAATATTCTATAATGCATATACACAACTCTTGTGAGAAAATAGTTTTTATAAAAAATACATCATTAGGAACAAATGAATGCAGAACAGACTGAATAATGGTGCAGAATATTTTTTCTCTGCATATAGTACTTTTTTTGTTGTTGTTATTTTGAGACAGAGTCTCACTCTGTTGCCCAGGCTAGAGTGCAGGGGCGCAATC